TGTAGTGAACTAAGCCTCAGGTCAAATCTGAGCTTCCTGGGACAAGAACTGTATTTCATTGATTTGAGTCCAGAAACACAAGATTAAGTTCATCCAGAGAATTTCTAAGTGTCCTACACTGATCAATTGAAAGAACACTCTCTTTTTTATTATCATTACTATTTTACAAATGTTTGATAATCAAAGTGTGTTTAGTTCAAACCATTTTTAAAATGTTGAAGTGAACTACTCATTTTAATTCAACTGTGAAACAGTATTAGTGATTTTTTAATCCTCATTCAAAGTGGAAATCAAATTGGAATGTGTTACGGAGTAATTCATGCATTTTCTGATCTTCTGTCTGAAATGAGCAAGTTGTGATGTCGGTCAAATGTCGGAGTCAAACGCAAAACAAGTTGTTGGAACGAACTGTCATGTTTTTAAATCCTCTCAGACGTAATATAGAGAAGCTGGCACCTGTTTTCCCCCAACTCGTCTAAACATTTCTCTCGTCTGTCTCTAAAACATTTCCAGTCTGTTCCAAAACATTTTTCTGTTTTTCTGACTTCTAGTGACCTCTTACGTCATAAAAACACACCCCTGATTAGCTATTTCAGCCAATCAGGAACTTCCCAAATGAACCAGAAATAGAACTCTTTAAATGTCGGCACTTCCTAGTTCAAACCAGTTCGTTCAGTCGAGAGCAGTCGAGCCCGGCCGAGCTCGGTTCGGAGAGTAAACCGAACACAAGAAGTGCTGGGGAGAACAGGAGTTCCAGACATGATCCGGAGTTCGTCCGAGTCTCGTGGGAATTATGCAATCTTCCACATCTGAGTGGAACTCTGACGGACTCACAACTCACGTGAGCCCAACTGAGAGGTGAACTTGTGTCGAACAAGTACCGTCACTACTTCGGATGATTCACAGCTGTTCCTACGGAGACGCTGAAAGGGTGCGTTAAATGGAACTCCGTACCAGTGGAGACATCTCCTCCAGGTAAAGAGTCGATTTACATAACCTAAGTGTACCGAGGAGGAAGCTGGGATCGAATGGAGGGTGCCGTTCTGTTCAACACTTTCCCTCACACATCATCTCCTTCCCTCTAAACTTCATTTTCCCATCTTTAAAACTCTTCTATCTGCCAGAAATCATTCCAGATATTTTCAGAAATGTCTGTTGTGAAGCAACGGAAAACCATGGCCGTATGGTTTTCCTGTTTGTAAAGCTGATTAATTAAGCTGTTGTTGTTTTCAATTTTGCCAAATTAATGTAAATGTTTGATGTTAAACTTTGATTCTGTTAATAAATGACCACATTCATTTGATGGGTCAAAGAAAATTAACGCCTCACGTTACATTTTATTAAATTCAATGCACGA